TTGATAAACCTCTATCACCACTGACAAAAATAAAAGGAAGGAAAATCCAAATCACCAGTATCAGGAAGGAAATTGGATATATCCCTACACATCCCGCAGCAACTAAAAGAATGGTAAGAAAGGCGCCTGGGTGGCTCAGCCCGTTCATCTGACTCTTCATTTCGGCTCAGGTCATGACCTCAGGCTCTTGAGATCAAGCCCTGCTTCTGGCTCTGCACTTAGCAGGCAGTCTGCTTCTCTCCCTCTCCCTCTCTCTCTGCCCCTCCCCCTGCTCACACACTCTCTAAAAAATAAATAAATAAATCTTTAAAAAAATAATAAAAATAGGGCGCCTGGGTGGCTCAGTTGGTTAAGCGACTGCCTTCCGCTCAGGTCATGATCCTGGAGTCCCGGGATCAAGTCCTGCATTGGGCTCCCTGCTCGGCAGGGAGTCTGCCTCTCCCTCTGACCCTCCTTCCCTCTCGTGCTCTCTATCTCTCATTCTCTCTCAAATAAATAAAATCTTAAAAAAAATAATAAAAATGAATAAAAGGATGGTAAGATAATACTATAAACAATCTTATGTTCATGACTTTTAAAAGTTTGGAAAAAATGGACCAATTCTTCAAAACCACAAACTAACAGAATTCAACCAACATGAAACAGATCATCTGAATAGCACTATCACCATTAAACAAATTGAATTCATAGTTTAAAAGCTTCCCCCCCAAATCCAAGTCCATATGGTGAGACTGGAGGATTCTACCAAATATTTAAAGAATTAACACCAATTTTACACACTCTCTTCCAGTGAGGAGGAGGAAATACTACCCAACTCATTTTATAAGGTCAGTATTACCCTGATAGCAAAATCATATAAAGACAATACTAAAAAAGAAAACTACTGGGGTGCCTCGGTGGCTCAGGTGCTTAAGCAGCTGACTCTGGATTTTGGCTCAGGTCATGGTCCCAGAGTCCTGGGATTGAGCCCAAGGTCGGGCTCTGTGCTCAGCAGGGAGTCTGCTTGGGGATTCTCTCTCCCTCTGTCCCTCCCCTCCCACCCCCGCTCATGCATGCATGTGCATGCTCTCCCTCTCTCTCTCTCTCTCTCTAAAATAAATAAATCGTTTTTTAAAAAAGAAAACTACAGACTAACATCTCCCATGACCTTAAATGTGGAAATACTCAACAACATACTGGCAAACAATGTAGCAATATGTAAGAATTATATACCAGGATCAAGAAAGATTTACTGCAAGTATACAAGGCTGATTCAACAATTGAAATCAATCAGCATAACGTACCACATCAACAAGCTTTGAAGATCATACACCTATCAAAAGACACAGGAAAGTGTTTCACAAATTCCATATCCATTCATGATAAGAACACTAAGTTAGGAATTATACTGACTCAATAATAGAATATCAACATTAAAAAAACCATACCAATGTAAATAGGTAATGGTGAAAAACTTAATGTTTTCATGATAAAATTGGGACAAGATAAGGATGTCTGCTCTTTCCACTCTTACTCAACATAGCAGGAAGTTGGAGCTACTGCAGTTACGGCATTAAAAAGAAATTAAAAGGCAGTGCAGATAGTGTGATTATCTATGTGTAAAAATCTCAAGGAATCTACAAAAAAAAAAAACCTCTTAGAATAAGTGAGTTAACAGGATCACAGAATGCAAGATCAAAATACAAAATGAGTGGCATTCCTATATAAAAAACAATGAACACATAGAAACCGAAATTAAAAATAGTACCATTTACAAATGTTCCTGTGAAAATGAAACGCTCTGGCCTATATTTAGCAAAACACATAGAGGATCTGTACACTGAAAATTACAAAAAGTTGATGAAAGAAATTAAAAACCTAAATAAATAGACACACACTGTGTTCAGTGAGCAAAAAAATCAACATAGTAAAGACAACAATCCTCCTCAAACTAATACATAGGTTTAATGTCATATCTAGCAAAATCCCAATAAAGTTTCTTGTAGACATAGGTAAGCTTACTCTAAAATTTACATGGAAAGGCACAGGCCCTAGAAGGGCTAAAATAAAATTTTATTTTACAAAAAAGAATAAAGTGGGAAGAATCGGTCTACTTGACAGATATTAAGGCTTTGATATTACATACCTACAGCAATCAAGACAGTGCAATATTGGCAGAGGCACAAACACAAAGCTCAATGGAACAGAAGAGATGGACACAAATATAATACCCAACTGCTCTTTGACAAAAGTGCGAAAACAATTCAGTGGAGGGGGCGCCTGGGTGGCTCGGTCGGTTAAGCGTCTGTCTGCCTTCGGCTCAGGTCATGATCCCAGGGTCCTGGGATTGAGTCCCCAGTTGGGCTCCCTGCTCAGCAGGGAGCTTGCTTCTCCCTCTGCCTCTGTTCCTCCTCCTGTTCCTGCTCTCTCTCTCTCTCTCTGACAAATAAATAAATAAAATCTTTAAAAAAAACAAAAACAAAAACAAAAACAATTCAATGGAGGAAGGACAGGCTTTTCAAAAAACGGAGCTGAAGCAATTGGCCCCCCATAGGCCAAAAAATGAACCTCATCCTAAACTTCACACCTCATATAATAATTAACCCAAAATGGATCACGGACTTAAATACAAGACTATAAAACTTTTAGGAAAAAATAGCAGAGGGGTGCCTGAGTGGCTCAGTTGGTTAAGCGACTGCCTTCGGCTCAGGTCATGATCCTGGAGTCCTGGGATCGAGTCCCGCATCGGGCTCCCTGCTCAGCAGGGAGTGTGCTTCTCCCTCGAACCCTCCCCCTCTCATGCTCTCTCTACCTCATTCTCTCTCTCAAATAAATAAATAAAATCTTAAAAAAAAAATAGCGGAAAATTTTAGGGATCTAGGGTTAATCCAAGTTCTAGCCTTGACACCAAAAATACAATGTATAAAAGGAAAAAATGAAAAATTGGTCCTCATCAAAATGAAAACCCTTTACTCTGTGGAAGCCCACGGGAAGAGGATTAAAAAGACAATATACAGACTTGGAGAAACTATTTGCAATCGACATATTCGACAAAGCACTAGAATCTATAATATATAAGAAACTCTCAAAACTCAACAGTTAAAAAACAATCCAATTAAGATGTGGGTGAAAGATATTTCACTGACGAGAAAATAGAGATGGCAAGTAAGTGCATGAAAAGCTATAAAACATCCCTGGCCATTAGGGAAATGCAAATCCAAATCACAACGTGATAACACTACACACCGATCAGATTGGCAAACATAAAATGGAGATAATATAAACACTGGCAAGGACATGGAGAAACTGGACCACTCATCCTTTGCTGCTGGGAATGTGGAATGGTACAGTCACTGTGGAAAACAGTTTGGCAAGTGTTCAGGAAATTAAACATGTAATTGCCATATGAACCAGCAACGGTACCCTTAAGGTATTTATTCTAGAGAAATGAAAACTTATCTCCATAAAAAACCCTGCACACAAATGCTCCTGACAGCTTTATTCACACTAGCCCAAAACTGAAGACAGCAAAGATCTCTTTTCAGTGGTGAATGGTTACACAAACTGTGGTCTCTCAACATCATGGCATGCTACTCAGTATTAAAACAAACAAACAAACAACTACTGATACACACAACAATTCAGATCAATTTCCAGGGAATTATTCTGAATGAAAAAAGTTAATGCCAAAGGGTTACACATTTTATGGTTCTATTCATGTAACACTTTTGAAACGCCAAAATATCAGAAATGTAGAGCAGATCAGGGGTTGGCATGGGTCGGTGATGGGGTGAGGTATAGCGGACACGTGTGTGATGATAAAAGGGCCACAAGAAAGGCCCTTGTGGTAATATAACTGTCCAGTATCTTGACTGCAGAGGTGAACGTGCAAACCTACACTTGCAATAAAACTTTACAGAACTAGGGGCCCCTGGGTGGCTCAGTTGGTTAAGCCTCAGACTCTTGATTTCGGCTCCGGTCATGATCTCAGGGTCAAGAGATTGAGCCCTGTGTTGTGCTCCCCACTCAGTGGGGAGTCTGCTGGAGAATCTTTCCCTCCGCCCCTCCCCCTGCGCACGCTCTCTCTCTCTCTTCCTAAAATAAATAAATCTTAAAAAAAAAACTTTACTGAACTAATTACACACACAGACAAATAAAATGGAAAATATGAAGGTCAGAAGACTGTATCAATATCAATATCCTGGTTGTGACATTATATGATACTTTTTGCAAAAGTTACCATTGAGGGAAACTGGGTAAAGCGTATACGGGTTCTCTCTGTTATGATACTTTAAATCTGCATGTGAATCTACAATTATCTCAAGAAGAAGTTCAGTAAGAAAAACCCAGGAGTAGAAGCTTGGAGTGTTAATCCCCTGCAAAGGTGCTCATCAAGGAACATTTCTCTTCTTCCCGTGTATATACTTACCTGTAGGAGACTCTCCAAGACTGTCCTTGAACTCTTGGGGACCTTGGACCTATGGTTCTCTTCCTTGTTCTAGGCAGATTACTTCAGGTTTAGGGGGTAACAATAATGCTCTGCGTATAAAACCTTGAGGTCGTGGGCTGCCATCCTAATTCCAGACTCTTTTTCAGGAAGAGTGAATGACTCTTTCATACTTTCATTTACTCCAAATGTCTAAATGGGCAGAATCTTAGATTTAGCACCTTCCTTCTAGTCTACAGTGATTGTGGGTGGAGACGCAAGGAGGAAGTGGAGAAGGAAGCCTCAGGAGGGCACGTGGAATGGGATGGGGAATGGGAATCCAGTGCTACTGAAGCAGACAGGGTCAGGGCTGACAGCAGCTTGGACGAGGCTGCTAAGAGCAGAAGACGGGGAGACAGGCTGGTAAGTCAGGATCTATTCTGAATCGTCTGGATATGCCTTGCCTTTCCCCCACACCGTCAGAGTGAGACCCAAACAGCTCCTCGAACACGGGGACTCTCCCACAGAAGATCGTCTTCCATAAACTGCGGCCAGATTACTCAACTTCTACACAAAGGAAAGGAAGAATCTTTACCTAGAGAGATGACAGTCTCATAGTTCTCCTGCATTACATCATTGTAAAGGATCTTCTGAGTAGGGTCCAGTAACTTCCATTCTTCCTCAGAAAAGGACACTGCCACATCTTCAAATGTCAACAGGCTCTGAAGAAGAGAATGGGTTTCAGTTCAGTACTTGCCACCACAGAAGCCGTCCTAGCACTCATCTCTGAACTACGCAGCAGGCCAGTCACCAAAGAAGAGTATTAAGATTCGGGGGGGGGGGGGGGGGGGGAAGAAAGTTAGAAAAAGAAAAAAGCCCGAGATCCCGAGATCAGTAAACAGTAAACAGCGTGCGAGGGGCCTGGTCCCCACCGTGCCCAGCCTAGTCGCCTAGAGGTGAACATCCGGGGCTAACATGCCTCAGAGCACCTGCCGAGCACCATGGGTCATGGGCAGCAAAGAAAAGCACAGACAAGGCCAGGTGCAGGCTGCCTGAAAAAGCTGGAAAGTACAGCTCACCTGGAACTCAGGCAAGATGAGCTCAGATGCCATCTTCCAGTTTGGGGGGCTTTTCTGCTCAGAAAAGGCTAGAATCTGTTGAGCAGGCACAGCTGTGGATGGAAAAGAGCCAGAGAAAATGTCTCTCTTTTTTGTTTACAAATACCCTGAGCTGACTTCTAGAACACGGAACCTCAGGAGTCCTTCAGTAAGGATAGCTCACCTTCACAAGTGTGTGTGTGGTGCCAGAGGTGGTCTTCTCATTGGACATGAGAACCAAGTATCTACCACTCCAAAGAACTGGTTCCCCAGCTGGCTGTTTCCCCCCAGATTTCGTGAGAGAAATTAATGAAAGGAAATCCATTATTTTTTTTTTCCTCTCATAAAATAAATGGTTTACCAGGCTAGGCAAGAACTAGAGGTGAATGAAAATCAAAGACTCAGGTCCCCCAGTGTAGCTGGTTTCTGTCTTTTTTTTTCCCCCCCGGGGCACAATTCTCTCCCCCTTCTGCCATGATGACCCATTTCTGATCCCAGTTTCTTCTCTAACATAGAAGGGTGAGATGACCCCACCTGTCCCTAGTCCATCTTCTCTCCAGTTTCTAAGAAGCAAGGTCCACGGTGTGAATACCAGGGTTCTCTGGTTTGGACATGTGTGCACCCCAGGCTGACCCTCACCTTCACCCACCATTGGCCTATTGTCCTCGCACGTGAGAGACATCCTAACAACTGGCAAGGCTGGGCACCTGGAACATTCCCATGACATTCCAGCAGAACCGATTCCTATCACAGCGCCCAGGAGAAGAGAATTATTATGAAGCTCCTCACCTCTTTCATATACAGGCTGGGTTTCTTTGTGAGTATTCCAGCCCAGCTGTTCCTGTAGTACCCGGTATGTATTCCAACATTCTTTCTGGAACATACCCATTGGTTGGGGCTCTGCTGGCTTCCACTTAAAGCCTGGGGCCACTGCTGTTCCTCCCAAGGGCACTGCCTCCTTTCCCAGCTCATGGGCTGTGACCTAGAAATAATCCCCATCCTCATTAGCACAGAACTTTTCGTTTGGGGGTGGTGGTGGAGGGATGAACAAGAGTAGAGCCCGGATTCGGGAAGTTGTGACATTCAAGGAAGTAATAAAAAAAACTAAAGAGATATTGTGCCACCAATTCCCCACAAAGAACCATACACATCATCTGGGGCAGTCAGACAGCCACAGCTCAGGCCACTGGCAGGGTGGGGGCACACTGCCTCCTGTCACAGTGCCTTCACTGGCTTGCGTTCTTGCCTTGGACCCTTGCCTAAGGGCATTTTTAACTTCTCAGTTTTCTCTAAAACAGAAGGAGTTGAATAAAAAAAAAAGATTCCCAGGGACGCCTGGGTGGCTCAGTCGGTTAAGCACCTGCCTTCCACTTAGGTCGTGATCCCAAGGTCCTGGGATGGAGCCCTGCTTCAGGCTCCCTGCTCAGCAGGGGAGTCTGCCTCTCCCTCTGCCGCTCCCCCTGCTTGAGCTCTCTCTGACAAATAAATAAAATCTTTAAAAAACATAAAAATAAAAAAAGATCCCCAGCCAGATTTTCCAATCCTTCCACAGCCAGGGAAGGATTTCATGGAGAAAGGGGATGCAGCGGAGGAAAAACTGGAGGAAAGTTTGGACTCTCACTTCCTTCTATGTGATTCCATTGTAGTAAAACGCCAAAAACATACCCTGCCCTGTCCTCCTCAAAGTGGGCTCCCGAGGAAAGGAAGGGTGCTGCCATCTCCCAAGGGCATACCCCGGTTCCCCACTTCCCAGCAAGGCCAAGGGCAGACCACTAAGGGAGGGCAATGGAGGCTCTTTTCTTCTGGCCCAGAGATAGGCGCTCCCACTAGAGAGGGCCCTACCCCTCTTGGCACCCTGATTCTGCCCACTCCGCTCGTGGCAGTTTTCTTCTTTCTGTATCCTTGCTTCCTTTTTTCTTTCCATTTCTTCTCTTTGTGGTCTTCCCAAAGTTGTCTGATTAATACTTCTGTTTGCCACCCTCTCTCCCCTTTGACCTCTAAGTGCTGTGCATTTTTTCTTCAGATTCCCCACCCCCCTTTCCCAACTCTGCCTTGCCTTTTATTTCTCTGTTTCTAAGAACTCAAGTCCTCCCTTCCTTGGCCACGCCAGCCGAGGCCCACCACCCCCAGTCTGCCCTGGCCCGAAAGAGGGCAAAATGCATTTCTCTTTTCCAAGGGCCAAGAAAGATGGCCAGGGACTCTGAAACCTGTCATCCACTACGGTTGCACATCTGTGGCTTCAGATCCTGCCTGGCTGTCCCCAAGGAATGACAGAAGAGTTACCTACTCCACCTTGTTCCTCCACTGCCCCTCCCCACCCAACGTGGATAATTCCACCTTTACCCTATTTCATTGTCCACAGAAAGGATCTCCTCACCTCATCACTTATTCCATCAGGTTCTCTCTGAAAGCGCTCTACCAGGGCCACAGCCTCTCTGATGCTCTGTGGACGATACTTCTGCACCCAGTTCTGGGTCTCCCTGGGTAGAATAGTCAGGAACTGCTCTAGCACCAGCAGTTCCAAGATCTGCTCTTTCGAGTGGATTTCTGGCCTCAGCCACTGGTGGCATAATTCCTGAAGTTGGCTGACAGCCTCAAGTGGTCCAGGTGCTTCATGATAATAGAAGCTCCGAAAGTGCTGGCGAGCGCTCTCAGGACCAAGACTGTCCGTTTGTGGGCTGGATTTCTTACTCTCACTGGAGCTCTCTTTCAGAGACCCCTCAGTCCCCCACAAAGCCTCCATGTGTGGGTACAAGCATGCATTCACCTCCAGATGTCTCATCATCATTTGCTCTAGGAACAGTTTTACTCCTATGTGTGACATCCTCCTGGTGCCACCTTTGACAACTGAGGCCTTGTCAGGTTTGGTATAAAACCAATGAGTGGATCTTCTCCCCAAGGGCACTGAGGGAGGGGAGAAAAAAAGTACATGTCAAGAAGAAAGCCACAGGACACATATTTACTTGCTATTTATAGTTATCAGAGAAGAATGAACAGAAAAAAAACCTGTCCAGTCTACCTTTTAAAAAATCAACTGCCAAGTATTAGGACACTCACGATGACAGATTACTTCAGGACATACATTTCTTTTTGTCACTCAGCTTTGAAACAAAGCACAGCTCAGAGAAGACAAATATTTGTCAATCGACAACTTTCCTTTTTTTTTTTCCTTAAAGGTCAAGGAAAAGGTGGTGGATGAAAACACTCACCCACTTGCTAAAAGAAGCTTTGAGAATATCCAACGTTTAATCTGTGTGCTTCCTGTCCCATCTTCACAAATAGGGCATATCTGAGTTTCTCTAAATTTTAACAGATCCTCTCCGCTCTTTTGTCTTTAGTTAGGGGGAAACAACTACTTGCCCCTTCATCCCCTTATGAAGACTGAAACCTTTACTTCATGGAGCACTTGATAGTCTCCTTTCCATTGTATTAATACTGGCAGGAGAACTGAGGCAACCAGATCAGAAAAAAAGTAAAGCAATTAGGGAAAAAAGTAACCTTATCCCTCACAGCAAATACCCCCCAACTGGGCAACCAGATGTCAACATTTTGGGGGGGGGAGTACTTTTGGGGAAGATGATCAAGGGCACGGTGCAGATTTGTACCTGTGCATTAACTTTTTGCTTACTTTACTGGAAAGACAAGTTGGCCTTGCTTACCAAATACAATGTCAGCTTGTAAAAAATGAAAGAGAAAGGGTGATCATTAAGGTTCTTCTGAGACAGGAAGGGTCCTAGTAAAGGTAACCCTTCTCCTGACTTTACACTTCCTCAGGGGCACACAGTAAGGCTTAAGTAAGGCTAAGGGTGGCCTTGAGAGGCTGATTTTCCGAAGTATTCCAGCAGAAACAGCAACAAAGTTCTTCTGAGGATGCCACGAGTCCTCAGAGAAACGCCTGGTTCCTTGCTGCCTATGCAGGCTCAGAAGGTATGGGGGAGCCTCCTCTATTTCCATGTCGGCAGAAGCTAACGCCTTTGAAGCTGAAAGGCCCCTTTCTCCGGCGACCTGACCATCAGCCAGCGGAAACGGGGGTGTTTCGCCGGGTGCAGCGGGAGACACTGCTGCCCCCCCCCGGCCCCCACGAATCCGCGACGCCCCCGGGGCACAACGCGGGCGGCCGGCCCCCGAAGGCGCCGGGGAGCGTCCCCGGGCTGCACGTGCACCTGGGGGACAAAGAGGTTGCCGGCGGAGGCTGCACGGGGCGGTCGAGCCCGCGCACCCGCCCGGCCCGCGCCGCCGCGGGGCTGGGATCGCCCGACGCGCCGCGGCAGGCTGCCGGCTCCGCCCCCCCCCCCCCCCCCCCCGCTCACCGCCCCGGGGGGCCGCCAGTGGCACGTGCGGCCAGCGCGGCCCGCAGCCGCGCCACCAAATCCCAGGGGCGACGCGGCTTCTCCATTACCTCCGCCCAGCCCCGGCTTCCGCGGGCGCCACTTCCCTCTTCCTCGACTCGGCAGCAATGTCGCCACGCCTCCCCGCCGCCCTGAGGAGCAAGCGCCCGGTTCCCGCGCCTCTGCGGGCCTGGCGAGGGCAGCTCCGAGCTCGGGAGCGCGGGGTGGGGAGGGGGGAGGCTTGGAGGACCGGTCCCCCACCTGATCCCTCTAGCTCCCCGAGACCGTACCCCGACTCGCCATTTTGGGGTCGCGGTCTGTGGACCTGGCCCAACCGGAAAAGAAAGAATGCGCTTCCGGCGGCTTTGTGACAGCCACGCCCAGCCGTCTCCCCCTCTACCTGTGGCGTCTGGGCGCAGCCCGGCGGAAACCGGGCCGCAGCTCCTCTCTGCGCCGGGGGCGCGGCCTTCTGCTCCGGCTCAGGCCGGGACGCGAACACGCCTTCCCCAAGGCCCGCTGGAGGCCCAGGGGGAGCCCCGGAAGCTTCTAGTCGCCTGGGAGGCATGTAGCCCACCGACTCCAGGTGCCGCGATCTTGTGGCCCTGACTTGCCAAGTGCAGATCGTTCAGCTCGCGTTCTGGCCCTTTCTACCGGGAACCCCCCCAGTGAGGGCCGCCGCCCCTGAAAGTCGCCACTAGACTTGTCCCGAGCCTCCTGAGTTGTAGGACATGACGTCCTCAGGGTCACAAGGATTGCCAGTGGCAGTTTTTGGACAAGAGTTGAGGTCTCTTGCTGCTATATCCCTTGCTTTTTCTATTGCATTATGCCTCCCTGTGAGATAGGAACCTTGTTTCATCGCGTAACTCCTGTAATGCTCAGCATAGTCTTCTGGGTAAGTCATCTTTCTAGGAACCTGAGTATCTTGGGTTGTCAGCGTCTCCAAATTATCAGTGTTTACCTAATGTTGAGCCATTTGGATGAAAACTGTCCCTATCAGTCAAAATAGAAGAAACTGTGTAGCTCAGTAGGGCAGTGGGGTTGAAACCGACATGTTTCGGAAGTCAGTGCAAGAAACTACCCCGCAAACAGAAAAGAGACCTGCAGGCCTAGGAGAAAAATAAACAGAGCACCTATCTGATTTTTTACATGCAAAAGCCAAGGAGACTCAAGGTCAGTCTTCACTTGAAAAACACAGCTGCCCAAAAGCAAGCAAAAAGATGATGAGGGAGCAGAAGGCTAGCTGAAGACTAAGCATAAGCTGACACCCTGCAACCTCCCCCAACCCCCCACTCTGGGTGGGACACGTGTGACAGTCTTCCAGGGATCTCCCAACTACCTTAATGTTAATACCTTGCTAGAGGGGAAAAAACATTAACTTGACAATGGCAAGACCTCTGGTATCTTGTAGGTATCTAGTAGGTCGGTTGTCTTTAGCATATGGAAGTTCTTTTGAAACCTCCGTTTTTCCTTACTTTCCCCAACCCCCAAGTATAAAATCACCACTCAAGACCCCGGTTCAGCAGCTCTTTCTGCCCATAAGTCCTGTCCGCATGCTTTAGTAAACCACCATTTTTGCACCAGAGAGGTCTCAAGAATTCTTTCTTGGTCGTGGGCTCCGGACCTCACACCCCCAAACCTCACCTATACTCCAAAACCCCATCAAAGACACAGTGCATTATCTGTGATATGCAACCCTAGTAAAGATGTTTGCCTCACCAGAGAAATGCTTTCAGAATCATCCTTTCAAACCTCTGTTCCTGAGGTTAGGCATTTTTCAACCTAATGTTTTTTGACAATGAAGAAGTCAAGGCATGGTTACTTCTGAACAATTCCTGGGCTTAGCCTTTCAATTGAATCATTCACTAACCAACGTAGTTAGATAAAAGGCATTTTCTATTTCTTTTTTTTTTTTAATCTTACGGTTTTTTACACCATGTGAAGTTCATATATTAATCTGCATAAAGTTATTCCTTGTAATTGTCTTCAATAGAAATTATCTGTAGATTAAACAGTTAACCATTTAGAATGAATATAGAGATAAATAAAATGCTCTCTTCAAATTACTATGGTTTATATGCTTGAAGAAAAAAAATCTTTCCTTTTTTTTTTTAATCTAGTTGTCTGAGAGAGAGAGAGAGCACAAACAGGGGAGCAGCAAGCAGAGGGAGAAGCAGGCTCCCTGCTGAGCAAAAAGTCCAATGAGGGGGACTCGATCCAAGGACCCTGGGATCATGACCAGAGCCAAAGGCAGCCGCTTAACCAACTAAGCCACCCAGGCGCCCTGAAGGGAAAGATCTTTCAAATGACTATAGACTCCAGGAAGACAAGTTGTAATTTACTTAAAACAAATTTCATTATGTATTGTTAATATGGTTACTAGTAAAACCAAACATTGAGCAGTGTTGTCATTTATAAAACTGCAAAATTAAAGGTTTCTAATTAAACTCTTAACACCTAGATGCCATTTATAGTTAAAGTTTGGCTAATATATTTGAAACACCAGAAGAGAAAGTATGTAAAATCTACAGGGCAGGGGCGCCTGGGTGGCTCAGTCGTTGGGCGTCTGCCTTCGGCTCAGGTCATGATCTCAGGGTCCTGGGATCGAGCCCCAAATCGGGCTCCCTGCTCTGCGGGAAGCCTGCTTCTCCCTCTCCTACTCCCCCTGCTTGTGTTCCTTCTCTCACTGTGTCTCTCTCTGTCAAATAAATAAATAAAATCTTAAAAAATAAAATAAAATCTACAGGGCATTTTCCTCCCTTTAAACACTTCATCCTTGAATCACCCAAGGAATCAAGGTGTGATCCTGAGCTGCAAACGACTCTCTAGGTGGAAACAACTTGAAGAAAATCGTAATTTTGAATAAGGTTACAATGAGCAAGACAAGGAAAAAGAGTTTCCAGAATTAAAATCCACAACACAAAAATGTTGAGATTTTTAACTGGGCCAAGAGCTGGGATGGAGTAAAACAAAGAACTATAGCAGCTTCGTAGGAAATCTTTACAGAGAGGGACCTGACTATGATCTGAAAGGCTTAGGAAGAGGGCAACTGTAGGGGTGCCTGGGTGGCTCAGTCGGTTAAGCGTCTGCCTTCAGTTCAGGTCATGATCTCCAGGTCCTGGGATCAAGCCCCATGTTGGGCTCCCAGCTCAGTGGGGAGTCTACTTCTCCCTCTCCCTCTGCCTCTCCCCTTGCTTGTGCTCTCTCTGTATCGCTCTCAAAGGAATAAAAAAAAAAAATCTTAAAAAAAAAAAGAAGTGGGCAATTATAGATAAATTCTTGGGAGGGGTGCCTGGGTGCCTCAGTCCTTAAGCGTCTGCCTTCGGCTCAGGTCATGATCCCAGGGTCCTAGGATCGAGCTCCACGTCGGGCTCCCTGCTCAGCAGGAAGTCTGCTTCTCCCTCTCCCACTCCCCCTGCTTGTGTTCCCTCTCTCTCTGTCTCTCTGTCAAATAAGTAAATAAAATCTTAAAAAAAATTCTTGAGAAATACGGAGAATTAGAAGCCAACTTGGAAAAAGACAGGGTGTGGCTAAATGGGAATGAAGAAGAAAAGGCTACCTCCAAAAAGCAAAGTTGCAGTTACAAAGGCAGTTGTTCAGAAAAGAGGAGAGACTAATGAAGAACAGAGTGCTGAATTTAAAGTATCATCTGTGGGGCGCCTGGGTGTCGTAGTCAGTTAAGCACCTGACTCTTGGTCTTGGCTCAAGTCATGATCTCGAGGTCGTCATGATCTCGAGCCCCGCGTTGGGCTCCATGCTCAGTGCGGAGTCAGCTTAGGATTCTCTCTGCCACTCCCACACTCGCTCTGTGCATGCTCTCTCTCTCTCAAATAAATCAATCTTTTTCTAAAAGTATCTGCTGGGGCGCCTGGGTAGCTCAGTTGGTTAAGCGACTGCCTTCCGCTCAGGTCATGATCCTGGAGTCCTGGGATCAAGTCCGGCATCAGGCTCCCTGCTCAGTGAGGAGTCCGCTTCTCCCTCTGACCCTCCCCCTTCTTGTGTTTTCTCTCTCTCTCTCTCTCAAATAAATAAATAAAATCTTTTTTAAAAAATAAAAATAAAAAAGTATCTGCTGTATGATGGTTTGGACTACCGCCTTGATTTTGTTGATGCTACAAGTGAATCTCAAAGGTTTCATTTTGTGCTGAAGGAGATGCAACAAGTAGTGATCAAAAAAATGGTTGCAGAGTAGATTCCATTCTAACATTGGTAGCTTTTGAAACTGAGGCCTGACTATATTAAAAGAGCTATTATTTTTTTTAGTAGGCTCCACACCCAGTGTGGAGCCCAACGCGGGGCTCGAACCCACAACCCCAAGATCAAGACCAGAGTAAAGTCCAAGAATCTGACACTTGACTGAGTTGCCCGGGCACCCCTATATTAATAACTTATTAAACATGACTTTGACTTCTGGTTCTAGTAATTATATTTTTAACAGCTTTATTGTGATATAACTCACAAATCATGTGATTCACTCAATTAAAATATGCTACAAGTCAGTAGTTTTTAGTATATTCACAGAGTTGTGCCACCAACACGGCAATTGATTATAGAATATTTACATCACCCCCAAAAAGAAAACACCAAACCCTTTACCCGTAACTCCTCATTTCCTGTAATTCCCTTTCACCTACCTTAAGCAGCCAATCATCTATTTTCCATCTCTATACATTTACCTATTCTGTATATTTCATATAAATGGAATCATACAATATGTGACCTTTTGTGTCTGGTTTGTTTCATTAAGCCTCATGTTTTCAAGCTTCATCCACGTTGTAGCACAAATCAGTACTTCATTGTGATGTAGTTTTTGAATGTAGGTGAGGTCCTGAGCCCACAACCAAGAAAGAATTCTTGAGACATCTTTAGTGCAAAAACGTGGTTTTATTCTATAAAAGCTGGTCAGGACCCGTGGGCAGAAAGAGCTGCAGCACCAGGGTTGTGCGGAGTGACCGATTATATAACTTGGGAGTTGGGGGAGGTAAGGAAAAAAGAAGGGTTTCAAAAGAACTTTCATATGCTAAAGAGGACCTACAAGATCCTGGAGGCCTTGCCATTGTCAAGTTAAGGTTGTTTTTTTCTCTAGTAAAGCATTAACATTAAGATCCTTGGGAGATTCCTTCTGGAAGTTAGGTTATTGGTAAGAATGCTTTTTTATTGTAAATCACGAAGACATTTGTAAAGCGAGGGAGACCCTTGTCCTGCAGGACTGTGATCTCTATCAGTTAACCATTTGCTTTTCCTTCCCTTAGCTTTAGGGCAGCCCGGAGTGCCTGAGAAATGTCACACAGATCCCACCTGGGATTGGGGCGGGTTGCGGGGTGTCAGCTTGCGCTT